ACCCTTTTTAGTCAAGAACGAAAGATGACACAAATCAAGGGAACAGGATAAATGACAAAGGAACAGAAGTGAAGGTTCCCATCCTCTAAAAAAATGAATAAAGAAGCTTTTTATTTCTTTTTTGCTTTCTATGGCTTTCATGTGTCCAAGTGTAAATCCATAAAACGTTTTAGACAAATTGAGGGAAAGCCTAGCTTTTATGAACAAGTGTTGGAATAGTACTAGCATTTTGACAATGAACCAGTAGTGTAATATTATGTTTTCTGAGATCAACATGTCACAACATGACATTTAATAAATAAATAAATCAGAACCTAAGGGTAAAGTATTGCATATATTATGGAAGGTTGCTTCCCACCAGAAAGTCATTTCAAGTACCAGGACTCAAAGGCATGACCCTACCTTTTGCAGGAAATCACCTATTCTCTGATAAAGAATTTGATTCTGCAATGTTTCAATTCTTAAGTGAAATTATTGTGATTGTAGAAGACAAAAAATATATTTATTTCTCCTGGACCTGTGTTTTGCATAGTTAACTGTCTAGAAACACTCTAAATATAGTACATAGACCAACAGGGCTTAATCTTGCTGTCTGACATATTTTAGAGTATTCCTTCACAACAAACTACAGTTGTGAGTCACAAAACAAAACAAGCTAGGATTAAGAGTTGCTCCTTCTAAATAAAATACATGGCAACTCAATTGAAGAATTCAGAATACATGCATCTCATTAAGCTATTTTATAGCCATGGTTAGCACATATTCAATTTTCTTCCTTTCCCCCACCAATCATTACAAAGGGAACTATCAACGAAATTAAAAGCAACTCGCAGATAAAATAAGAAAACGCCATAACTGATTTACTGAAACCAATATGGAAAGCAACGTCAGCCAAGCATCCTACAATAATACTGGATGCGGAACACTGCTTATTTTGAAGAGAGGCTCAAGCAGAAAAAATGCCACCGTTATAAAAAGAAAGCGGCAGTTACAGCGTGAAAAGGTCAGACGCAACTGCCACGCCGAAGCTCGAGCAGTCAGCCTACTTTGTATAGGATTAAGGGTCGGGGTATTCAGGGCGAGATTTCTGGGGCACCCACCCCGACAGCACCGGCTCTCAGCCCCTGCACAGAGACCCGAGACTGCCGGTTTAGCAGCTAAACAGTGGTTAATAGCGGCGGCTGCCAGGCAAATCTCTTTCAAGCTGCCAGCAACCCACTGGGCTGCAGAAGAGGAGCGCCCTTCAGCCTGGGCCGGCCCTGCATCCTCCCGGGGAGGGAGGATGCAACGCCAGGAGCCCCGGCTCGGCAGAGCATTCCCCGAGGTGCAAATCGCCTGCCCCAGCCGAGGGTCCCGCGGGCGGAGTGGACAGCAGCGGGGATGGGCGTGGTTGTCACTTCCACCCGGCGGACACCGGGCCGGAGGAGGCTGCGACGCACCGCCGCCTTTGCGGGGAAGGGAGGGCTGGCCAGGCGGGAGCGGCCCGTCCACCCTCCCGGCAGGCAGCTCCGCCGCGGCTCAGCTGCACGAGGCGCCCCTCCCAAGGGCGGAGGAAGCCGCGCCACCTCGCCCGGCGAACAGTGCCCGGGAAAACCGGGGGCGACGGGTGCAGGGCAGAGAGGCCGCGCAGGGCGCCCCTTGCTACAGCCGAGCCTCCGCGGCGGCCCCAGCCAACCCGGCTAAGCC